GGCCAAATGTTGGCAACTCGTCCCAGGGCAGCGGGAACGGTGCGAATAGCGGTAACGGTAATAACAATAACAATAGCGGATGGACTCAAGTGGGTGCAGGCGGCCGTGCGTGGGCGGGTGCAGGGATGATCAAGCGGGGCGGAGCGGGTAATGGGTCGCAGCGTGGTTCAGACCCACCACCGCCGTTGCAGCCGCAACGAAGTTTGGACGGCGCAGCGTCAAGTGTTGGAACTCCGCCAACTTCGGCCGGATCGCAGACGACCGCCGGAACGATGCCCGAATGGATGCAAGATGACGATAACGGAAGGTTGGTGGTGCTTGATTATTGTAGTTTGTTTGATTTTATTGTTTAGTGTAGTTTGTAGTCTGTAGTTTGATCATCTGAGATGATTGATTACTACTGTAGAGAAGAAGAGAGTGGCGCAGGTGGTGCACCAGTGGTGGCGGCAGGTTCCTTTGATGAGCACGGTCAGTTCCGGGCGGCCACTCGGAATATGGCTGCAAAAGGTGGCGGTCAATCGTCGTCACCTCAGCAGCAGCAGCAGCAGGCTCAAGGTGCACCCAACATCATGGATAGGTTGGTATTTCTGTAGTTTGATCGTTGGAGCGTGATTTGATTTCTGTAGTTTGGTGTTTGGTGTTTGACCGTTGTATAGGTTCAGGTCAAATGTGATGACGTCATTGACGTCGACACCACCCCCGCAAATTCCCACGCAAGTGCAGCAGGTGATGACAAATCCGTGGACTACAACGAGCACATCACTGAGCGATCAAACTACAGACCAACAGCATCAAACTACAACCGCGGATCCGATCCTTGCCGAACGATTAGCGCAGGTTTTTAGCTGTTATTTATTGATGGAAATATTTATTATTTTAATATTTATTATTATTATTTATTATTGTTATTTTGACGTGTATTTATTGTTATTTATTATTATTGTTATTTATTATTATTTATTTGTTATTATTTTTTATTATTATTTTTATTGTTGTTTTAGATGCGGGTAGGGCGATTGCAACATTCGATGTCGCAACCAGCTGGTGTGGCTCCTATGGGTGAATTTTTAATTATTATTATTGTTTAATTATTATTTATTATATTTATTATTTCTTTATTTATTATTATATTTATTATTATTGTTATTATTATAATATTTATTATTATATATTATTATATTTTTATTGTTATTATTATGTTATATGTTCAGGCATGTCGGAACAGCAGGTGTTATCAGACGATTGGTATTATATCGATCCGAAAAACGATACGCAAGGGCCTTTCCAGTCTGCTCTTATGGAGGTTTATTATTGTTATTTGTTATTATTTTTATTTATTATTATTTATTATTGTTTTTTTATTATTATTTATTATTGTTATTTATTATTATTATTTATTATTATTGTTGTTATTAATTGAGGCGTGGTTCAACTCGGGCTATTTCACGAGCGATCTGCGGATCCGACGTGGCACCGATCCAAACTCGGGATTCATAACGTTGGGTGATTTGCTGCGCATAAACGGATCGATATCACCGTTCAAGCGGAGTCCGCCAAATAGCGCTGCAATAGGTGGTGGTGCTGGGCCGCAGCTTCATATCGCGGCACCGCCTCCGCAGGGTCTTGCCACGAACCAGGTTGGAGCGACTACGGTATCGATGCCGATGACACAAGCCAGCGCCTTACAACAGCAACAACAACAACAACAGCAGCAGCACCAAGCAATGCAGGCGAGCCAGCAGATGGGGTGTGTTTATTAATATTTATTATTATTATTTATTATTTATTGTTATTATTTATTGTTATTATTTATTATTATATATTGTTATTATTTATTATTATTTATTATTATTATTGCAGTCGGAATATATGGACGGCAGAGGAGTACAGTCCGGTGTCATTGCTTGAGGCAGCGAAAGTGCATGAGGAACGGCAGGTTTGTGACTTTTATTGTTTATTTTATTGTTTTTATTGTTTGTTGTTTATTTATTATTGTTTATTTATTATTATTTATTATTATTGTTTATTTATTATTTATTATTATTGTTATTGTG